TTTTTGAGTGAATGTAAAGTAATAACTTATAACTATAGACATATATTGGAATCTCCTGGGAAATTTTCCCAAAATGGGTATGCTTTGCCTGATGGTATTTATTTTATAAATCTAAGTGCGGCAGACATAAGATCTCTGAGAATATGTTCCTTCATTGATTCCAATGGTACTGCAGACTAGAATCCACTCATCTAGATTTTAGACAACTGATACATATTTGTAAAGCAAAGGAATGTAATCTTGCATTATAGAGAAAAGCATATATAGAAATGGCATGATTTGATTTCAGCCAAAAATTAAGACCTGGTTAAAGACTAGTCCAGAATATATAAGATTCAACCTCTCAAATTCTGACTTTCCCCCTTTTCCTCCTCTTTTAGTTTTGGCTAGGAGATCATCAGAAAAAACTTAAGGGTTTGGGAGGCTCAATATGAGTCAGGAAAATGATATGGCTTCTAAAAGGCTTAATTATCTCTAGCAGAATTAAAGAATTCTAATGTCCTAGAACTTACAATTGTTTTTCTCTAAGAACTTAAATTTTTGTCTCAACTGGTCAGTACATACTCAAAGACGTAGTTTATTTTGTTTTTCCCAAAGACACATTTTAAAAGTGAAACTGGGGGGGCACCTGGGTGGCTCAGTGGGTTAAAGCCTCTGCCTTCAGCTCGGGTTGTGATCCCGGGGTCCTGGGATAGAGCCCCTGCATCGCATTGGGCTCTTGGCTTGGCAGGGAGCCTGCTTCCCTTCCTCTCTCTCTGCCTGCCTTTCTGCCTACCTGTGATCTCTGTCTGTCAAATAAATAAATAAAATATTTTTTAAAAATTGAAACTGGGGTACATGAAAAGGAGAGAGACAAGAATGGTTAAGGGATTTGAAAATGTGACATTTGAAGTATAACTGAAGGAGCCAGAGTGGTTTACCTAGAGAAGATAAAATTCAGGGAAGATAAGAGAGTTCCTTCGAAGGTTTGAAGAATGTCCCTGGCAGAAGGATCTGATTTGCTCAGTATCACTTCAAAGGGTTGAACCAGAACCAAGTAGTGAAACTTTGAAGGTTGGACAAAATCAGCTTAACATTAGGAACAAACATGCCAACATTTTTTCTTTTCTTTTTTCTTTTTTTTTCTTTTGGTCAGCTATTCTCATTTCAAGATGAAATGGGCTGCCTCTGAAACTACGATGAATCCAAGCAGAATAGGGAAAAGCTTACCTTTATAGGTCTTTGGGCATAAAATGGGATCAAAAATTTGGTTTTCCTTCTCTCCCTATGGTACAAAGTCTGTTACAAAGAGTACAAATGTGGGTGTGGTTCCCCATCCTGCCCTTTTACTTCCTCCTTTATTTTTCATATACTTGTGGGGCCATTAATTTTTTCCTCATGTCCATTATTTCATTTCCCAATCAGGAAGGTGATGTTAGGGAGGAGGACAGTATTGGTTAGAAGGCAGAATAGGAGAAATATCTCCCAAAAGTAGAATACAGTAAGTTACTGTTGTTAATGTCATATTGTAAGGATAATGGGATAATTCACTAGATCTAGTGAAGTATACCCTACTTGGGTACAGAAAATTATCTTGTATTTCTTTGAGTTCTCCCTGGCATAGTGATTATTAATAGGATTATTGTTCCCCATGGGGTGATTTTACACTTAAAATTTTGATTTTCCTCTTTAGGGCTAAAGACATTGCCCTCACAAAGTGAAATGAATGCAGAAATAGCTAAGGCTCAAGAGGAAATTTCAAAAAGGTAAGAAATTCTCCCAGGAGAGATGCAGTTACTTTTTCTACTTAGTTTTTAATTAGACTAATGTTATACTATATTTATTAATTTTTTAAAAGATTGATTTTATTTATATGAGGGAATGCATGCAGCAGAGAAGGGAAAAGTGAGAGGGAGAGAGTCTTAAGCAGACTCCACCCTGCTGGTAGAGCCCAACTCAGGGCTTGATCTCATGACCCTGAGATCACGACCTGAGCTGAAACCAAGAGTCAGACATTCAACCAGCTGTGCCACCCATGTGCCCCTATTGTATTATATTTAATCTTCCTTGTGTTAAGGATTTAGATTATACTTTGAAGGGAAGAGAAATAATAGTTTGCGACAATAAAATGGAGAAATAATACCAAGTGGTTTGAATATTTACAGAAAAGGAGAAAAAAGCATTTAAAATCCTGTGATTAAACCTAAAAGAAAAGTCAAGTAGGAAAAAGCACATGGAAAGAAAATCAGGTATAATTTGGTAGAATTACTTGAAATGCTAGTGGAGCTGCCAGACAAAAGAAGAGTGTCAATGACTTAATGGGAGGAAGGTATGGTCCAGTTACAAATCTGCAGGTAGATTTACAAATCAGATTAGGCTACTTCGCTGGCTGTCATCATGGGACAGCGCTCCCAGGTCACAGCAGCTAGTGGTACAAATAGTCTTTGTGATTTGGGAAGGTGGTAACATCAGCTAGTTCCTTAGTGCTCGGGTGAATATGGTAATTTAGCAATGTGAATTTCAGAACTTGAGTTCATTCACTGGATGATTTTCATTTGGATAAAGTGGAAATTGATGGTAAGATCCTACATTATTGTACAAAAGTCAGAGGTACTCTATTTCCCTCCTAACTTTCACAGCCAAATTTCTACAGTAAGTATTCTACAATATATGCTTAAATTCTCACCCTTTTCTTTCTCCTAAGCCTTCTGCCTTGTAACTTCCCTCCTTAATTCGCAACTGCTCTCTTGAAGGTCATCTTTGACCAACTTCATTTTTTTTCTCACTCCTGAGTTTGGTGCTTCTAAATGTCTCTTCCTTCTTAGAATGCTTTCCTTCCTTGCTTTACTGGCTGTAAACTGTTTCAACTTTCCTCCTCTCTTTCCTTTGACTTATTTTTGTCTAGTACCTTCTCACTGTGAGCAGTTTCCAATAATCTTTTTTGAGGGTCATCTATGTACACAAAGTGTTTTATATGCACGAGTTTATTTAATCCTTACAACAACTCTACAAGGCTGGTGTAGTGAATCCCTTTTGTGAAACCTTCATGAATACTCAGCTCTTGACTCACTACTATAGGATAAATGAATGGCTACAGACCCTTAAGCCAACAAAATATCCCTAAGGGGAAGCTCTTAAATTCTTTCCTGTCTAGTCCCATTTCTATAAAACTGGTCCCATTTCAATAAATTCCAATTTGACATCTGTTAGTTCTTTTAGAATTCCATTCCACCTCCTCAAATTTATTTTCTCTCATTTTTTCTTGTTCTTGTTTTTGGATTCCTCAAGTTATCCCATCTAATCTCAATTAGTTTGACTTGGCTTTTCTATTCCTTTCTGTACTACTTCTCTTTATTTTATTTTCCTTATAGGAAATAAAAAGTTACCAGGTAGCTCTCTAAATCCCACTCCTTCCACAAGTATCTGTTACCACATTTTCTCCCCAAAAAAAGTTCTAACTCTTCAAATCTGCATGTAGTGTAATGACTCCATCTGATTCTGTTTGGAGGGCTGCTTCTTCTAGTGGGATAAGTCATCCTCCCCCTCCATTCGGTATTCCAAATTAGCACTGGCCATGGGAAGTCCTGTTCTGTGGACCCCACTACCACTGCCCTCAAAAACAACTGAAGATCCCAAACTTGAGAACTTTTGTGGTGATTTCTCTCATAACATTAGAGTCCTTCTGTATCTGGTGCTATATTTGCCTCTTTCTATCCATTCTTGTTTTCCACAACATTCCTCTTCTACTGTAGGTAGCATCCATAGATATTCCATGCTCATATTCCATACCCATTCCTACTTTATTCCTTCATTCTGCTGCTCCCTTTACTTGTAACCCTTTGCTATTTGCTATGGGATATATCCTCCACATCCTTCAAGGACTTATTGCTCTCTTTTAACTACCCTCTTCTAACATTTCTATTTAGCAATCTAAAACCACACAATATACCAAAAGTCTTACATTCTTTTCTGCTTTATGTGCATCTTATATCCTCCAGTAGATTATATAAGGTCTTTAAGTTTGGAGACAAGGTCTTGTCTTTCTTCTCTGTTTTCTACAGCTCCTAGCTGAATATGGAGCCAGTAACAGGCACTCAGAAGCATTGAATAACTGACTGACTGACTGATTGAATTGTTGCTAGGCCATGACTTTTGTTTTCTCTGCTTCAGGTATGTGGAGAGCCAACGTCATACTATTCAGGGAGACTATGTAGATACCATGGAAGAGCTTGCTGATCTGGTGGGCGTCAGGCCCAATCTGCTGTCTCTGGCCTTCACTGACCCCAAGTTGGCAATACAGCTATTTTGGGGACCCTGCACTCCAATCCACTATCGTCTTCAAGGCCCTGGAAAATGGGATGGAGCCCGAAAAGCTATTCTCACCACAGAAGATCGTATCAGGAAGCCAATGATGACTAGAGTAATTGAAAGCAGAAATTCCATGACTTCCACAATAACAATGGCCAGGTTTATGCTGGCTGTTGTTTTCTTTGCTATAATTATGACCTACTGTTAGCTGTCCCATTTGTCATTGCCCTAGTTTTCTCTGGAAAACTAGATCTACAGATGCCTTAAGAATCTGATGCGATTGAACAACTCTCAGCTTCACATTGCCCAGGAATCCCCTTTTATTTCTTTTGCCAAAGCATTAATCCTCTGTCCTCATTTCCCTACAGTGAGATTCTAGTTTTTCCTTCATATTGATTTCCCTCCTTTCCTTTTACGACCCGCCACTTTTTCCTTTTAGTAACCCCTGAACTATGAACTTAGGTATTTTTTTAGTCATCTTAGTTTGTCTGTGGCCGATTTCTTGACCTATGGTCTGTGCTTAATAAATGTTTGTTGTCATTTATCAAATATAACGGTGGGGAGCATAAGTCAATATCTGTATAAGAAATGGATGATTCCATGTAATTCTGCATCTGATAGGATTTGGCTTTCTTTTAGAATCTCAATCTTTTGTTTTTAATATTGTAACTAAATGTATATCTCCTGAGAGATAAGAGAAATAATAGTCTTGTATGCATCTAAGATAAGATATATAAACACTTAACCATTTTATTTCACTAACTATTCACTAGTGTGCCTGATACCTCATCCTTTTTACTCTTTATCCTAAGTAACATGTCATTATTTTTTCAATGAGAAAACTATCTTCAGCTTTCTAGGCTCATGGGTCATTTTAATAATCTAGCATCTGCCAATAGGTTCAACCTGGCTGAAAAATTTGGGACGTTAAGTTAGCTGTCCCATCTTCTTCTGGTCATTTTGTTACCACATTAGGATCCAATAAGACTTGTCTTAGATCCGTAGCTGCCCTCTTTTATAGTACAGCCTATCGATGTGATTTGATTCGTCATTCCTCACTTCTTTCTCCTCTCTACTCCCTCACACACACAGAGTCTAAGTAGTACATATTCAAAGAAGTCATTTATGTATTAAAACAGGATGGAGGCTGCCTGGGTGACTTAGTTAGTTGAGCGTCCTAATTCTTAATTTCGGCTCAGATCATGATCTCAGGGTTGTCAGATCCTATGGCAGGCTCCCATGGTGGGTGTGAAGTCTCCTTAAGATTCTCCTTTTCTGGGCTGCCTGGGTGGCTCAGTGGGTTAAGCCTCTGCCTTCAGCTCAGGTCCTGATCTCAGGGTCCTGGGATCGAGTCCCACATCGGGCTCTCTGCTAGGCAGGGAGCCTGCTTCCTCCTCCTCTCTCTCTCTACTTGTGATCTCTCTCTCTGTCAAATAAATAAAATCTTAAAAAAAAAAAAGATTCTCCTTTTCACGTCTCCCATGTCCCCCTCCCTCAATACATAAATGAATAAATAAATGAGTTTTGATTGTTGTTAACTAAATATAGGGACATTCTACTTATAACAATTCTTTTAATGTCATACGATGTAGTTCTGAAAGAGCAAATGAAATGAAAAGCAGGGACTTCCATTTATGTCCTAGGACTGCTATTGGTTCTTTCTTCTCATATGTAGAAACTTGGTTCTGTTTTTGTCTCACAAAGTTAAATAAGTGTTTACTGTTGGGCACACCAAATTTCATTAGGAATGATACTGGATGTACCAGCCAGGTTTATATTCAAAAATAAACTGTTGTCCAATACATTTTTGCATTGCTTCCTGTTATTTAACAAAAGGATAAATGTGAACAAGTAAAGGAACAACGTTAGAAAGTATTATCTTTCCCAGTGTGAATACACATAGGAGAACCAGAAACGTGAGAACTACAACCTCCTCCTGATCATTCTATTTGCACAGTTCCATGCCATTTGGCCAGTTTACCTGTGGAAATGCCTTTTGAGAATTAGAGAACTGAGAAATGGTATTACTTCTTAGGTCTTTTTCCTTCCCTAAAACTTGTGATACTGATGGTTTATCATCTATAAAAATAGACCTAGTATCTTAAAATCTGCAGATTATTCTAGTTCAAAAGTAAATTAGAGGTTGTTTTCTTTTAACATATAAATTTGCCTCTCTTAACATGTATACTTATTGAATGAACAATCCTTTGATAATATAATAAGTATCCCAGTTTCCTCTTTAAGTAAAAAGTATGTCATTCTAAATTCATTGACTCTCTCATTTTATTTACAAAACGCAAGATCACAAAAAAAATTCATTGGTTAACTTCTAAATCAAGCTAAAAGTGAGATAAGAATAGCAAACTGAACGAAAAACAACCCAAGATACAAAGCCCTAGTTGCTGATGGCTGTGTACTAATATTCATCAATTCACCATAACTTGCTTTTCTAATTATGTTGAAGGGTTATATAACTTTCCTATTATTTCATTTCCCATTATATTACACATACACACACATACATTCTTGTTGTGCCAGAATGTAAGAAAGTGCTCAAAAAGCAAACTGATAAAGGTATTTCAAAGGGATACAGAAGCCAACTGCAAGTGGTCTCAAAGGCCGAAGGCAAAACAATCTGAGCAATAAAATAAATGAGCTAATGTAATGTATCCTGGATAGGAACTGGAACATAAGAAGAAAATTAAGCAAAAATTAAATACTAGGTGGGTGAGTGTGTCCTGGAGGTACAGCTGCTGCTGCCACCACTGTGCAGAGCCAGAGCAGGAGCCACCACAGAGAGGAGAAAGGAGGAGACCCTGGCCTGGGTGGGGCAGGGGAGGCTAGATTCCCAGAGGTGGGATAACTGGATCAGAGGGTGGTTACCCTGTATATAACAGTGTGTTTCTCACTGCACCTTCAATGGCACTGAGTAGACCATTAGTATTTAAAAAGACTGCATCATGCATGAGTACAAACTAGTGGCCCTTGGTTTAGGAGGCATGGGAAGTCTGCTCTGACAGTTCAGTTTGTTCCCAGAATTTTTATTGAAATATATGACCCAATGATAGAAGATTCCTACAAAAAGCAAGTTGAAGTAGATTGCCAAAAGTGTATGCTCAAAAAACTGGACACAGCAGGACACAGAAATTTACAGTGATGAGGGATTTATATATGAAGAATAGCCAAGGATTTACACAAGCATATTCTACGTCTTATAACTTATAAGACCATTTAATGGGTAAAGGACTGAGAAGATGTTTCAATGATTTTGGCTGGCAATAAATGTGACATACCATGGTGAAACTTGCAAAATACAAAGAGAGTTCTGAAAGGAGTTAGAGACAAAAGATCCTTAACCTACAAGGGTAGCTACATAAGTTTAGCAGCAGATCTGTCCACAGAAACTTGGCAGACTGCAAGACAGTGGCATGATGCAGTCAATAAACTAAACAAGAAAAATATGCAACCAAGAATACTATATCCAGCAGGGCTGTCATTTAGAATAGAAGGAGAGACAAAGAGTTTCCAAGACAGGCAAAAACTAAAGGAGTTTGTGAATACTAAACAAGCCCTGTAAGAAATACTAAAGGGGATGCTTTGAGAGGAAAAGACCAAAAGCAACAAAGATTAGAAAGAGACAATATACAGGAATAGTGATTTTACCAATAATACAATGGCATTAAATTCATATCCTTCAATAATTACTTGGAATGTAAGTGGACTAAATGCTCCAATCAAAAGACATAGGGTATCAGAATAGATTAAAAAAAAACAAGACCCAGGGGCGCCTGGGTGGCTCAGTGGGTTAAGCCGCTGCCTTCGGCTCAGGTCATGATCTCAGGGTCCTGGGATCGAGCCCCACATCAGGCTCTCTGCTCAGCGGGGAGCCTGCTTCCTCCTCTCTCTCTGCCTGCCTCTCTGCCTGCTTGTGATCTCTCTCTGTCAAATAAATAAATAAAATCTTTAAAAAAAAATAAAACAAAAAACAAGACCCATTGATATGCTGCTGACAAGAGACTCATTTTAGACCCAAAGACACTACCAGATTGAAAGTGAGGGTGTGGAAAAACATCTATCACACTAATTGACATCAAAAGAAAGCTAGAGTAGTGATACGTATATCAGACAAACTATATTTTAAACCAAAAAGTGTAATAAGAGATGAAGAAGGACACTATATCAAAAAAAGGGTCTATCCAATAAGAAGAACTAAAATTATAAATATTTATGTTCCCAACGTGGGAGCAGCCAAATATATAAATTATGAATTAATAATAAACATAAACTCATGGATAACAAAACAATAATAGTAGGGGACTTTAACACCCCACTTACAGCAATGGAAAGATCATCTAAGCAAAAAATCAACAAGGAAACAATGGCTTTGAATGACACACTGGGCCAGACAGACTTAACAGATATGTTCAGAACAGATATATTCAGAACATTTCATCCTAAAGCAGCAGAATATACATTCTTTTTGAGCACACATGGAAAGTTCTCCAGTATAGATCACATACAGGGTCACAAATCAGGCCTCAACAAGTACAAAAAGATTGAGAGCATACCATGCATATTTTTAGATGACAACACTATGGAACTTGAAGTTAACCACATGAAAAAATTTGGAAAGAACACAAATACATGGAGGTTAAAGAATGAATGGGTTGATCAGGAAATTAAAGAAGAAATTAAAAAACAAAACAAAACACATGTAAGTCAAAATGAAAACACAACAGTCCAAAACCTTTGGGATGCAGCAAAGGCAGTCCTAGAATGGAAGTATATAGTAATCCAGGCCTTACTCAAGAAGCAAGAGAAGTGTTAAATAATACTTAATACCTAAAGGAGCTGGAAAAAGAACATCTAATAAAGCCGAAAACCAGCAAAATAAGAGAAATAATTAAAATTAAAATTAAAACAAAAATAAATGATAAAGAAATTTTAAAAACCAATAGAACAGATCAATGAAACTAAGAGCTGGTTCTTCGAAAGAATTAACAAAATTGATAAACCCCTAGCCAGACTTATCAAAAAGAGAAAGGACTCAAATAAATGAAATCAGGAATGTAAGAGGAGAGATCACAACCAACACTGGAGAAATACAAACTATTATAAGAAAATATTATGAGCAATTATATACCAACAAACTGGGCACTGTAGAAGAAATGAATGCATTCCTAGAAACATAAAAACTACCAAAACTGAAACAGGAAGAAAGAGAAAATTTGAACAGACCCATAACCAGCAAAGAAATTGAATCAGTAATAAAAAAATCTCCCAACAAAAAGAGCCTAGGGCCAGATAGTTCCCAGGGGAATTCTGCCAAACATTTATTTTTTTAAAAAAATTTTATTTATTTATTTGACACAGAGAGAGAGAGAGANTTTTAAAAAAATTTTATTTATTTATTTGACACAGAGAGAGAGAGAGATCACAAGTAGGCAGAGAGGCAGGCAGAGGGGGAGGGGGAGCAGGTCCCTGCTGAGCAGATAGGACCCTGGGATCATGACCCAAGCTGAAGGCAGAGGCTTAACCCACTGAGCCACCCAGGTGCCCCTCTATCAAACATTTAATGAAGAACAAATACCTATTCTTCTGAAGCTGTTTCAAAAACAGAAATGGAAGGAAAACTTCCAAACTTATTCTATGAGGCCAGCATTACTTTGATCCCTACACCAGACAAAGAGCCCACCAAAAAGGAGAACTACAGACCAAATCCATGATGAACATGGATGCCAAAATTCTCAACGTTAAAAGGATTATTCATTACCAACCATATGATCCTCTCAACAGATGCAGAAAAGGCATTTGACAAAATACAGCATCCTTTCTTGATAAAAACTCTCAAGAAAATAGGGATAGAAGGAATATATCTCAACATCATAAAGGCCATATATGAAAGACTCACAGCTAATATCATCCTCAATGGGGAAAAACTGAGGGCTTTTCCCCCTAAGGTCAGGAACATGATAGGGATGCCCACTCTCACCACTGTTGTTCAATACAGTACTGGAAGTCATGGCCTGAAAAACTCCATCAAAAAACTGCTAGAACTAATACATGAATTCAGCAAAGTTGCAGAATATAAAGTCAATGCACAGAAATCTTTTTGCATTTCTATACACCAATAATGAAACAGCAGAAAGAGAAATCAAGGAATTGATCCCATTTATAAATGCACCAAAACCCATAAGATACCGAGAAATAAACCTAGCCAAAGAGGTAAAAGATCTGTATGCTGAAAACTATAAAACATTTATGAAAGAAACTGAAGATGACACAAAGAAATG